CTCTTTCCCTACACGACGCTCTTGGTATCTTTATTTTTCTTGTTCTTCTTTTTTTTCTTCTTTTTGTCCTTCTTCTTTTTATCTCTCTTCTTGTCCTAATCTTTGTCTTTTTCTTTTTCCTTTTCCTTTTCTTTTTCAAGTTCTCTCATTTTCCTCCCTCTTTCAATTTCTTGCTAAAGCTTTTACTCTCTGTCAGCTTCGCTCATAATGCTTTCAAACCCTGATCTCCTTGCAGGTCTTCCTCTTCTCCTTATTATTTAACCATCTTTATTTTTATTACTGTTAAATTTAAAAAGTCTTGTCGATGTTGCGATGCCATCATCATCATCCTCATCAGGATCGTAGGCTTTAGGCGTCTCACCTCTAAGAATCCCAAATCTCTTTACATTTCGTGGCTTAAGTGATTTGCCTTAGGCAAGCTTTCTTTCATAAAGAACTTCTTCTTTGACAATTTCATCAGAAGATGAAAAGTTTTCAGCATCTTATTCAATAGTGCTTCCTCCATAGGGATTTTTAGATTAATTAGGCCCACAGCCATTGTCAAAAAGATCAACATCATCCAAATTGTGGCACTTCTAGTCATCATCCTCACTATCATTCATATAGCTATCTATATTTTTACCTCCTTCAATTTCACTATAGTTTTTGATCTTTGGCCTAAAGTTGAGTTTCTACTTTTTCTTATTCTCCTTCTCTGATTCCTCATCATCATAGTTCAAATCATTTGGCTCCCCGTTCTCTTTATCTTAGGGTTTATCAGCACCTCCAAGTTTTATATCCTCGATGTCATCATCTTCATCCTCATATAGTAGGTCATCATCATCTAACTCAGACTCTATTGTTTCCTCTGGATTGTTAATATCCAAATTTTCAGTTGACGATGAAGTTTATGAGGACTTTCTATTCTATGATGATGCTAGAGATGTATCAATTTACATTTATGCATCTTTTTTTGGTCGACCTTTTTTCTTCACAGTTACATTATCAACAATTTTCTATAGCAAATCTTGGGACTTTTTATGCCTACCTCCTTAACCTAGTTATACCAATTAATCAATTGCTCATTTCAATTTATCCATGTCATTATGTGATATGTTACAACTATTAGCAATAGATTACATCATATATTGATCATTATTTTTAATAAACTCTTTAAGCATCTCTAAATCATAGTGACATAGAGTTAATGGCTGATGCAATTTCTATAATCCACAGTCCTCAAGAAATTCTAATAATTACATTTCTTAATTTTGAGTTCACAACAAAATTTGAATTTGATGGGGTTTTGGGGTTTTGGGGTTTTGGGG